TAGCCACTGGCTCATCGGCTTAAGTTTACATCTTACGGTCACTGTTACGGAACTTTGTGTGCGGTAACCCTTATTCCTTCTATTATGGCTGCACCATTAATCCAACCAATCACATTCAATCGCTCGGCGAGCAGGCTAGTCGCTATGTCCGGCTTGAACGCACCCTATCCCTATGATTTTTCCCCAATGGCGTAGGAGACAGGAACGTTGAGCTCTGCGCTTGGCTTGGCATGTTTTGCAGTATCAGCTGATGGACTTGATGAACTCTCTTCCGTGTTGTGAAAAAAAGGAAAGAGGGATATAAGTGCCGCCGTGGAGTTCGTACCGTGGCAGTACGTCGTGTCGCGTCGTCAACGTTGTAATATGCCGACGCGTAACGTTGCCATCGAGGTAACGGCGCCGAACAGATCCCTCCGTTTTATCAGCTCATCTCCACTAATCCGCTGTCATCGTCAGGGATATTAAGTTGTGTTTTGATTTGGTAAGTCTAGTCTGTAAATTCCTCGATCAGTGTCGCAATTCATTAATGCGTGTCGTCACGCAGCTTTAACGTTACGCATTATGCCTGTATAACTGACGTAACGCGTTAGCGCGACGCTGTTGTTGGAAAATCGTAAAGCGTGCACGCTGGCAAATAATTCTCGAACCTACCAGCGAAATCCATGATTTCACCGATCTGTTAAATCGTGTTTGCACTGTTTGCAGATTCGCTCAACGCTCGAGCAAGTGAGAGTAAGTGAGAGGGACGGGAGAAGGAGAGAGGAAGGAGTAGAGAGAGATAGAGTGAGAGGTGAGATGCAGTGTTATCGTAAATAAACATAAGCTTATATTGCGTACCTTCTTCATCATAGATCGCGGATTATTGCTGTCCGTTGTTTTAAAGTAAGTGTGGAAGGCCACGACATCCTTGATTGCATCAACAAATTGTTGTTATGAATAATCAAATTAATAATCAATGAAACATTAAACTCGATTGACTTGATAGCACTATTAAGACATTAATTTTTCGTTATATATTCATATATTCGTAGGTAAAGCTTTATATGTACTTTGTACCTAGCAAGTTATTTTTAAGGCAATGTCTTGAAACTGCGCCGCCTAGCTCTCCATATTGTCTTTCAATATTTGGAAAATACACTGAATAATTAATGCAACTAATCAATATTGCATAAAACATAGAAAACATTAAAATAATCTTTCTACATAGCTCACCGTGAATTAATTCTACTTCAGTCAAAACGAATTGCTTTCGAGTCAATATTTTTTTGTGTATAACATAATGTTAATATAATTATAAATATAAATTTTTTATTGCTGATTACTTTGAAAAACAAATATTATCAATTTATTTATTCACTTATTTCTTCACTTGCTTATTATTTTATTTATTTGCTTTGCTGTAGCAAATATTTATCTACGTAAGAATATTTGAACCAATATGTGCCAGTGTTCGTTTACTTATTTGTTATTTTATTTACATTTAGTTTAATCGTAATTTTCTTTGATAAATCATAATCATCTTAGATTTTAATGATATCTACTTATGAATATTTTATTTAAAAATAATTTACAAAATAAGAAAGGAATAAGTTTAATATTATTGTCTCAACTTTATTGTTCTCAATATTATCTCAATATTATCTCAATATTATTGTTCAACAAGGAACTGAACATGCTTGCCTTATCAAAAGAATACAGATAAAAAACATTGTACTTTCTTCAAAAGTCACTGTTGATTATTAAAGTAGATCGAGTAACCTATTATAAATCTTATATTAAATATTCTATAGAAAGATTCAAAAAGTTTCATTTAAATTAATAGTTAATATTTAAGAAAAATTTTTAAGCAACTTAATACTATGAGTATATTAAATCTGACCTTTGTGGTTAAATTAGTGTATATATATATATATTTGTCGTACTTGAAATTGATATATATTTAAAGTTTGAAACGAGATAGAAAGTTTTAGTGTAGTCTAGTACAGCAACAAAAAACAGGCTTAGAGAATATTGCTTTTATTGGCCTATACCAGTTTAAATATTTTTAGATTTGTTTACAAACAAGTAATTTTGTATTTTATACATAAACTCTTGCTTAGTTTTTTTTTTCTAATTGTATAATGTAATAAATTAATATATACTTATTTGTTACAGAATACTTAATATTTAAATAAACATGGGAGGTGCTGTAAGTTGTGGACAAGACAATGATGAATTAGTGGATAATTTAATGGGATCGGGATATATCAGAACAAAGAAGGTTGAACAAGTTTTTAGAGCTATAGATAGAGCAAACTATGTTTTGCCTGAATATCGAGAAGGCGCTTACAAGGATTTAGCTTGGAAACATGAAAATATACATTTATCAGCTCCCTGTATATATAGTGAAGTATTGGAAGGACTAAGTTTAGAGCCTGGCTTAAGCTTTCTGAATCTTGGATCGGGTACTGGTTACCTCAGCACAATGGCAGGATTGTTAATAAGTACGAAAATTGCTGTTTTAAAAAATTATATCGAATATGTATATCTTTTGTACCTTTTTCAGAACAACATGGAATAAATCACGGAATTGAATTGCACGAAGATTGTTTAAGTTACGCGTACAAAAGGTTGGAGGAATTCAAGGAAACGTCATTGGCTTTAAATGAGTTTGATTTCTGTGAACCTGTATTTATACAAGGTAAAACAATTTTTTTTAATGTTAATAAGATTATAATGAATCTATATCAAACATTACATAATAATAATATCCAATAGGAAATTGTCTTAGCCTTATACCAGGTAGACAATACGACAGAGTATATTGTGGTGCAGCGTGTCCTGAAAGTCACGAGGCATTTATTAAGCAATTCGTACGCATTGGAGGTATATTAGTAATGCCTTACAAGGATGAATTGCTACGTTTGCAAAGAGTGGATGAGAATACATGGTTGCAGAACACAATGCTTCCCGTATCGTTCGCGACTCTAGTCGTACCTCCGTCCTCGGAACACAATTTGTTTCATCTGCGTACGTATATGTCATAAACAAATATTTTATGTTCATTCGACTATTTTCGCTATTACGAGATCACGCTATATAATTTACACTATTCAAAATTCTATATTGCAGCGGAGTACAATCCCCTATCTCTACAAGAGCTGTGTCGTGGTAGAATCCGACATCATCTACGTCACAATATCTGGAACGAGCACCCCGAGCTCGAGACTGTGAAGCCCGTAGCACCAATACATCAAAGGCAGACTGAGCAACAAGATACCCTCAGACGTTTTGTAATACCTATTTTTGACTCTGACGATTTTACCGATGATGAGGAAGAACTTGCCGGGCGAGCGCGTTTCTTATTAAATGCGCGTCTCGCTGATGTTCAGCCTGGAGAAGCTATCACGACGAGCTTGCAATTGGTACGAGCGGTCGTACAACCGAATCAGAACGGTGAAGATAGTAGAGAGACTCGACGGATTTCGGACAATACCCACGAGAGTACTCGAGATATCGGTGTGAATACGGATTTCCCTGTACGTCAGCAGAGACGGAAATCCAACGCGAAAAACACTGTTTCAAGTATGAGTATGGATGATACGAGTGCGGGTCACAGTTCCTCTGTAGGCACAGATACGAACGACAACAACAACAGAGCGGAGGAGCGAAGTAAAAGAAACGCGGAAAAATCCAGCGTGGCCACATACTCCAACATGAGCGATAGCGACAGCGACAGTGACGGTGAGCAAGAGAGCGTTTTCATGCAACGCAAGAAAATTGCGAAGCGCGAAAAAACGGACAGTGGTATAGTGGACGATGCAAATTTCAGCAATGATGAAAGTAGCTCCAGTTCGAACACTAATCACTCTGATTCTGACATCACCGATACTACGGATGCGGGTGACGCAATGGACGTAGATTTACCCGAGATCGCGATTTATAAGTCGTGCAGCGACGCGTGCTGCAAGCCAAAATATCAAATCGGCTCTAATACCGGCAAAAAAGTAACTGTCGCGCACTATGTAGATAGCAAGGCGTTTGCCGTTTACATGAAGGAAAAGATAGGACAGTTACCATTGCCTTTCTCAATAAAGTTGTATATGAATTATAATCGGAAATTGTAAGCAAATAATCGTTATATATTATTCTTATTTAAAGAAATACATACATTTTTATTACACAACGAACTTACACTGTTTTTGTTTCTCTCGCGTATGCGTTCGTTTGGACTTACGTAATTTACATGAGTGCTCTATATCTCGAGTGATGTTTTCAAAAATAACTTCTCTCGCGTCTCGGATCTTACGGCGCTAGTTAACCGTCTACTGATATATGCGGTCTACAGCTAATGACGAATCAATTGACATACGACTTTTTGTCAGTGTCGAGTTATCTATTGTTCCTACATCCTGCAAAACTTTTCTTTTAATCTCTTACTTTGCATAATGAATAGAAATAAGACATAGAACTGTACATGTATAATTGGAATATTTAGGGATAAAATTATTAAAAAGATTAAAGTCTCATAATTTTATATATACGATCTTTTATTTATATAATATCTCTCCTATGAAGTGTCTCTGTCAAGATTAAATTTGATATTCTTTAAAGACTACTTTCCAAAATTCAACTATAGATTCGGAATGAATCAAGAAAAATTAAGGGATCGAAAAAAGATAGATTATAAAAATAAAAACACATCTGATCTCCATTTTAGAAGATCATGCTTTTAATATAAATTAGATTGCAAGTATTGCAACTATGTCAGAAGTTTTCTACAGCTGTATTCTAAAATTACTGTCAATGCTAAGAATCTATACGTAACGTAAACTACAGATTTTCAGCGCTATAAACTTGGAACATACAGCCTATGTTACTTCATAATTAGTAGCGCTAAGATTTGAATTGTTTATTTATGTCGAATTTTCTCTCATCGAATCCTGATTATAGCCTGTTCTTTATCAAAGAACTCTGAAATGGTGCACATAATAAATCAAGATGAAGCAAATATAATTCAGGGAGTCATCGATAAAGGAAGACCTAATTAAAGGATCGAGGGAAGATAGGATCGTAAAAGTAAGAAAATTCCTAATCCACTTTGGAAGGTCATGCTTTCGATATTAATTAGATCCAATGTCAAGCCGTGATCTACATCGACCGCGTCAGCCGAATGTTTATTTTGTAACCGTTGAAAGGTTTCTTCGCTGAGATAAGATTATTCCTTTTTAGATTTAAAAATATACAATTCAGTCAATACGAAGAAAACTTCAAACAATTCCAAAATAAACATTCAACTGAACACGGCCAATGTAAATCGTAACTTTTGACATTGATTAATTTATACTTGACACCGCCAAGATTTGAATTATTCATACTAAACTTGTCCCCAATCGATGGTACCAATACTTCCGCACCAATACACATATGGGCCACGGATTAATCTATGTGGGGTGCCTGCGAGGGTGGACGCGCGCGAATACCCCAGACAGATCGGGGTTGATTGGGGGTGGAGGAGACTAGCGCCAACAGCCCTACAGCAGCCCGGCAGATCGCGCGACGTCGCGCATCTGTGATAAGAGAAGGTGGACAAGTATCAGTATCAATGCGCACGACCTCGAGCGCAAGGTCGTGCCGAGGTATATCGAGGTGCATCTACCACTCTTTCGCGCATCTCATCGTCACCATCGCCGCTCCTCTCATCGAAATTGCCAAGCCGCGAATCGCGTTCCTCGCAAATCTCTCGACGATGTAGTCCATGATGTAGTCGAGATCGAGGTACTCGAGATGCGTCGGACATCCCCCCAAGATTCGCGCTTTTGCGCGGTACTCGGTTCGCGGGTAAGCTTGACCAAGCACAACATCCCTGGTTCTTGCGCGAGGGGATATCGATATTGTCATGCCGAGGCATCGTCGATGTGGACAGAAACCCAGCGGATGACAGCCGATTGAACGAAATTAAAGAAAATTAAGGCGACTCGTGCGATCGTTCACTTGGAGGTGGATCGCGATAACGCCCCGCTCGAGCCGTGGATGAGGTGAGGAAGATGTCGCGTCACCGACGTGTGTTTACGTGGACATCATCTAGGTCATCATAGCCAATTCATTACATATTTCGAAACGGATTGATTGCTGTTATGATTTTCATTTGCCAAGAAATTTTTTAAGAATCATGAATTACGTACGAATTTTTAAGAATGTGTGTGTGTGTGTGTATATTATAATATAAATTTTATCAAATGCGCACAATACTATGCCAACTATTTGTTTTTTAATTTTTTATTCACCAAGAAATTCTCTAATTTTGTAAGAATATTATGAATTGTACAATATATGAATTTTTAAGAATATTACAAATACAAAGTTTGAGACCTCCCAGACAGCACACAATATTTATAAAATATTTACAAAATATTTATAAATATTTATAAGGTTTATTTTAAATATTTTTGTAAATATTTTTGTAAATATTTAAATGGTTTTCTAGATTGCATAGATCATAAATATTCATTATAAATATTATGAAATATTTATTGTAAATCTTGTAGTAAATGTTACTATAAAAAATATGCATAAAATATTTATATAACATTTATATAACATTTCAGAAAATGAATAATAATAAATATTTATCATAAACACATCGTGTAATATGGTTCAATTAATATAAATCAATAAAAGTGTTGAAAAGAACTACGAATCATAAGAAAACAATATTCAAATAAAAGATATAATTAATTTATCATAAATATTCTGTGCTGTCTGGGCTGGTTTCACCAATGTAAAATTAACTTTAATCTCGATTTAATTTACTCTGTTTTTTAATTCTTAAAATTAAAAAAAGATTAGTGGAGAATCGAGTCTAATACCCGTTTCTATCACAATGTAATTTAATTTTAATTTTGGTTCAACTAACTCATCTTTTTCCAGTTCTAAAAATTAGTTTCGCTTCCACCAATATAAGATTAACTTTAATCTCAGTTTAATTTACTATTTATATTTTTCTCTAATTCTTAAAATTAGAAAAAAAATGAAAAGTAAATTAAACCAAGAATAATGTTTAAATGTTACATTGATGAAATCAAGCTGAAGAACATTGTATGCACACGATATTACGCAAAGTATAAAAGCATGAAACAAAATATTCGTAACAAATTCCCTTGCAGCCTTCTTTAAAAGCTCCTAAGAACTTAAAATATAAATATGTAATCTCTTCTAATATATCAATTAATTTTACTGATTTTAATATTTTTCCTCTATAGATTTGAAGAACGAAGATGAAGGCTACTGTGACAAGTGTTTTTTTCCTATGTCTCTTCTGCTCCAATCTGCCGGGTGTCATCATGAACTTTGACCCGTTCTGCGGTGGTCACTTGGCAGGCCCTAGAGGCGTCATACACACGCCGAATTTCCCTGGACAGTTTCCGATTCCGATCAAGTGTCGTTGGGTGATTGACGTGTCCGATATCCCGTCGACCAATAGCTCCATCGTCGTCTACCTGACGCAGCTCTATGTCTACAAGGGGCTTCGCTTCACCGAATATGCGTACTACGAGTCCGAGACCATGAACTTTGGTGCGGCCCTAGTTAAGGAGGTGACCGAGGGTAACGTCTTTAAGTATCAACGCCTGAGAACGTTCAGGCCGTTCTTGGTAGTCGAGTTCGAGCTCGATCGACTCGAGGGTAATCACGTGAGGGTATTGAATGACCTGCTCGACGTATATGGATTCAATGTGACTTACGAAATGACTGAAGAACATCCAAATCCCGAGTCCTGCACCATACGCGACTGCTCCTTCGCAGGCAACTGTCTCGTCTCTGCGGATTACACGTGAGTTATTAATATTATTTATAATACATCAGAATATATTATTCTGGCATTTCATGATGTATTTGCATCTCTTGTACATGAAAATGATTACATTAATTTTTAATAAATTAAAAATAAACAGTCGAAGTGATTCGTTTATCATTTATATATTGAGTATTTATATATTGAATATATTTGAGTATTATTTTATTTGTATATTTTTCATTTGTATATTTATATATAGTATTTTTTATATATAGTTTTTAATTATAATTATACATTATTGCATCTTACTTTTTTATTTATTTTTGTTATGCTATTGTGCATCTGAAGTTATTCATTTTTACGATATTGATTCTCTTTTACAAATATGTATATTATTTGTATATTAATATTATATGTATTTTAATATTATATTTATATTATTATTATTTAAACTTACAAGGTGCGTTCGCATTATTGTAGTTGGAATGAAACTTTTTATTCAATGCGTGAGAATATATTTACAATAGAAGATTATTTCAGAAATTTGATTAATTAAAAAAGCTCAAAATAAATTGACTAAAATGCGAACGTATACATATAATGTTAACTTTCATTGAGAAAGCTGAAAATACAATTTTTGCAACTAATCATCTAAAATAATTTTCAAATAATTCTGGATTATATAATAATTCTGGAATTCAAATAATTCGGAAATAAACTTTTTGTAAACGTTTTATTTTATTTTAGCTACATTTTTTATTGTAAAAAGAATATTTCACTAATAATCTAAACAGAAATGATAGAAATCTAAACGAGTTATTTAATATTTTCTTTTAATTAACATATAAGAAAAAAACCATTAGGCTTTTTTAATGAAATATAAACTTTTAATTCGCTATTAGTAAACTATCCTAAACAAATTCACAGCAAAACTTCTAGAAACTTATACTTTCAAAGATAAATACACAAAAAATTAAATATTTGCAAAGAATAATTGCTGTAGAATTACAAGTCTTCTATGAATCATAATTTTTTGCACAATTTATTCGTCATAGAAGCACAAAGTTTCCTTGTATTATGTTTTTTCCTGACTGTTTTTTTTTTTCTTTTGCAGGTCTTTCTGGTGCGATTGTTTCGATAGTTTTAATGGAAGGAGCTGCAACGAAGGTCCGTTGTGTTTTAACGATGAAAATATTCCAGTTTGTCAAAATGAAGCCACATGCAGGTATACTTATCACAGTACAACAATACATTTAAAAAGGATTATTTTTATGCAATTAGTTAAGTTTAAAATATCTATTTATAAACATAAAAACATTATATTTATTTATGTGAAAATGAGCTTTATACAAATATCTTTGTTATGTATAATAGAATTAATATTTAAATATTTGTATAAATATTTTATATGCGATAAATTATGCTATTATTTTTTAGTTCATTTACATTATTGCATAGTTAAATAACTGAAATTTTTTTTATTGAACGCGAAAACTTTTAATTTGCAAAATAATATAAAGAATTATAGAATATTCGATACGAAATTGCAAAATGAAAATTTTTTATAAAATATATGAATTATAATAAACCAATTATATATATTTTATATAGTAAGAGTAAGAAAAGTTTTCCCTGAGATAACTTATCGAATGAATAATTACTTGCGTTTATTGTAGACAAATTGGAGCAGAAGCAATGCACTGCGATTGTCCGAATGGTTACGTCGGACACAATTGCGAAACTCGTCTTTTAGATACATCAGAAACAGGTAATGTTTTATTGATTACGATTCAATTAAATTTGTTGTTTAATCCGTTTTATTTTTATATGTATATTCAAACATACTTAAAAAAATGAGCTATCAGAGCCGCGCTAGTTGATAAATGCGATTTGTGTGACTGGGATTGATGAAAGTAATCAACAAATTTTGTTGCCATATGGCAAAAAAAATTCGTTGATTACTTTTTTTGTGGTCCAAGAACCTATTTATATTGTTTTTTAATTGTTTTATATGTATATTATATTATATATTATTCATGTGTTAACGAGAAGATTGAATAAAGTACGAATGAAATGCGTGAGAAAATCTTTGGAATTCCAAAACTGATTAATTATATATCACTTTGCAGAATGCGCTTCGGAGAATTGCATACTGCAGTGTCCTGTCAACGAGCAAGAACAACCGTGTACTTGTAAAGACGGTACGAAGATATACAACAGTGAGTTTTCGATGTCTTATACATCTAATCGTTTATTGCAAAACAATACATTGTTTTTTCTTTTTATATTTTGCGAATTTGTAGCATAAGTTCTTTTAGTTCTGGACTTTCTGTTCAATGTTGACTAGATTTTCCTTAGACAATGCTTATTTAATATTGAACATTAAATAGTTTTATATAATTAAGCTTAAGTATTTTAAAAAGTATATTAAAATTTTGTTAAAATAAATTTATCTAAATGAAAAAAGGATATTTTACTTAATATTAGTTATACATCTGAAGTATAATTAATTAAAGCATTATCATTTTCTCATTTTGATTTAGCTTAAATATATTCGAAATTAAGAGAGCAAAGAGTAAATGATAAAAAATGCGATGAACTTGGAACATTCTATGTAACACATGGACTTTGTATTCATAGATCGATCAAGGTATGAATGCAGAATCAAGCTGTCGAACGTTACGTCTCTCCGCACGGGTCTCATATCGCAACACGGAAGTTTGGAATCATTTAGTAAACAGGTAAGTGAAGGAGAATTAGAAATAAGTATGTTGAATATATTTTGTTTTTATTGTTTTTTTAAGAAAACATTCAAACTATCTAACAATCGTTTCCTGAAATAATAGATTTTGTTCGATGAGATGACATGCTTCGTAAAATATTTCCGATAAAAATATGAAAAATATAAGAATAATCACGTACGGTTTGACGCATGTACTTGCGAGTTTATATGAAAACGAGATAAATGGATTATGTAATGAAATAAGATTCCCTGCTCTTAAAATAGCACGCGCGTGCGCGGATTTCGAAGACTGTTGGAAATATTACAAAGAATTCCCCCGTATGAAGCGTCTACGTCCGCGGTTTAACGTAAGCACGGGCACATGACACAGCATCGCTGATGAGCGGCGTATATCAATTTATGATTGTTGTATACGCAGCTGTATGACAATTATGTCGTAATGATTTTGGTACATTTGCGTCAATTTATACTGACGTCCGAACAAACACATTACTTACAATCTAATCCATGTAAATGAAGAAACGATCAATTTATTACGACTTAGACGTAAACCAGCTTAAAGTTTATTTCGTAACAATGCAGAAATATCCGAATGTGCGTCAGAGTAAAATACTAGTATGAATATATATTATCTAAAAATTAATAAGCTTATAGCATACATGTTTATCTCTCTAAAATGGTTGTTCATAAGAAATTTTCAGTCGTATTTATAAGATTTTGAAGGATTATTTGAAGACCAAGGCAAACATTTAATTAAAAATAAATAATTTATTTTATGATGGTACATTTTAAACCTATGCTAAATATTATTTAATTAAGAAAAATGGAAGTTCAATATTAAAATAACTTTGACGGAGACTTTAGAACGTTTCTTATCCCGTATGTAATTCTAGAATTGCTCAAGTTTAGTTAAATTTCCATACAGTGGCCATGTCATAACCGTTATTTTCCTTCTTGACATTTTCAGGCAAGGAATATTGTCGTATCAATTTCAATCGTTTCCTAAAATTTTCATTTAATCCGTGTCTTCCTGGATCCCCTAGGTAAATTTGTGTACCTCGTTCATGTGCGTCTCCCAACCAAGTCACTAAGGTGTTCGCTATTTCTTCGTCATATAATAAATCACCTACAAAGATCATGTCGTATGAATCTTCTAGTGGTTTTTCTAATAAGTTTTTACACAACACCTCAATGTCCGTATTGTTTAATATTGCATTCATCGCAATAGCTACACAGGCGACTGAAATCAGAGAAATATATTTCTATTTTATTAATTGTTAACATAATGTTTTACATTTTATCTTAGTATAATGATAATTTAATTTTAATGATATTAATTGTTTTAAATGATTGATTTCAAATATTTTACAAAAAATATTTAATACAATATCGCAAAATTTAAAATCCTGTTTAACTGTTCACCAACAATGACAGTCAATTTTTTTATTGTGAATTCTAATAGATAAATTAAAAAATTTGTAAAAAATAAAACAGAAATTTGTAAAAAATAAAATAGAATCCAACTTCTATGATGATAACAACTCGTAATTAAAACTTTCAAAGGAATGTAAAAAATTTTTTCAGATTTTTATGCAATTCAGAGCAATAAAAAAATTTGCATTGAAGTTTGAAAACTCAGGTTGCGAACGAAGGTTGAAAATTTCATTACCGACGAAGAATAAACGGTAAATAATATTGCACATACGTTTTGTTCAGTCTTGATATTCTGGTTATATTTTTTTATTATATCTATATTTTAATAGCTTTTTTAATTATATTAATAGTTTTTCTCTTAATTATTTAACAAAACCACTAATATTACATCCATTTTGCGGTATAATCAATAAACATTCTTTCATAGGTAATTGACCGTATTGCACATAGAATTACCATTATCTTATAACTAACTCTGAGTCACATACTCTATAAATAGGTTTCTCATGAATATCGCTCACGTTTTTACACTTGTTATAGAAGCTGCTGTTTACTTAATTATTTAGTTTTAACAGAGTCTTCAGAAATATGGAAATATAGTCTTTAAAAATCATTGACTGATAGCTCTCATTAAAAATTGTTATGTATTATTTTATATAACAATTATTTTCTATATAAAAGTTAATATTATATTGTTAGAAACATATTTTGATTTAATCATCATAGCAACAGATGTTCATAGAAACTGTTTCTATTTATTGTTTTGATAATTTGAGAACTTGTATAAATTGCTTTAAAAAATTATGAGTTTAATACTCATAATTTTTTGTTATTATTTCTTGTTGAAAAGCAATCTTATATGCTCAGACATAAATAATAAAGACAAATAGAATACGCATCCATAAGATTATTTATTGTAATTTTTTTATCTAAAAAAAAAATAATTCACTCGATATACAGGGTGTTTCCAAATTAAATGGCAAAACTTCGGGAGCGTGTAGAGGAGTAAAAAACTAAGAAAAAAAGTCCTATAGACATATGCTC